GTAAATAAATTCTGGGTATTTGAGGCTTTACAAAGAAGCTTTTGAGTGCTCTTTTTTACAGAAAATCTGTTGTCAAATTACTGCTGCCCATAGAGGGCCTTGTTCAGGCAAAGTAAACAAATAATTCCATGTGAATTCTTGGAAATAATTTAAAGATTGTGGCAACAACAATTTGCTTTGAACCTAAAAGACTAAAAGACTAAAGCTTATAGGTCATTGGGAGGAGGTGTCCTTAAGTGACAGTTTCAGCACCATCCTCTCCTCAGATGCAAACACCTTTCATGAGACCAAACTCTCTAACCTTAACCTGAGCAGGCTGCCCTTTTTTGTAAATGTTAGCTAGGTGGGTCTGTTAGCTGATCCTGATTTAATCCCACCCCTGCAAGAGTCAAGGACACTTATTTTCTAGGATTTCCCACCCACGTTAATGAAATTTTCAGTTATCATTGTTCATGAAGTGTCTATTATTAGAACATGTCTGACAGCAGAACAAACGCCCACTACATAATGGGATATTAATTAATACCCTCACTCACAGGCGGCAAGGCTGGAGATGTAATCTGTATTCAGCCTGCGAGAGGTTTAACTCTCGTCTCCTGCGCTGCACACAGAGCCCTTAGCGGAAGTCGCAGCTCAGCTGGAGAGATGCTGTCCACTCTGCTTCCACCAGGGAGCTGAAGCTTGGCACTGATATCCCTGGCACAACATCATGCCTGTAGCAAATATGATATTAGGGAGCTTCACTTTATTCTAGCTAGTTTAGACAGGATGAAATAAAAATCCAGTATAGACTAACACTATTCTTCTTAGGATATAGCGGGTTCTGATACCTTCTGAATTGCATTATTCACTGTAGTTGTAATGCCTTTTGTCTTTTCTAAGGACATAAACTCCCCCTCCTTGCCAGTGTTCAAGGCCAGGTTGGACGGGGCTTTGAACAACCTGGTCTGGTGGGAGGTGTCCCCGTCCATGGCAAGAGTTGGACTGGATGATCTTTAAGGTCCCTTCCAACCCAAACCATTCCATGATTCTATGAAACTGGCTTTTCATCCAATTTTGTCCCATATTGAATAGGGAAAATCATTGTCATGGTGACAGACCTGTAATAGAGCTTTAGCATTATACAGTAAAATACATGTACTACTATCTAACTTGCTGTCAGTGGCTGCTGTCAGCAGTGGACAGAACAAGAAGATCTGAAAGCAGAGCCTGCAAGACATCTTGATTTACTTACTATTCTTTTGCTAGACTGACGAGGCCAGGAGATTATGATGCTTTTTTGACAAATGTGATTCCACATTCACTGAAATGCAAGCACTAACCAGCTTCAGTGGGAGTCTCCTTAGCCTGCGGTCAGTGTGACTGAGGGTGGAATAAAGTCCTGTGCTTTAGGTCAGCATTTCAGGTGCAGAAAGGGTGTGTTATGTCTTCAGAAAAATTAATTACTGAGATATTGTTACACTTGATTTTCTGTTGGTAAAGGCTTTGTATCTATTCTTTTTGTATTTAATCTTGTCCTGTCAGTACTAATGTCTTACTTACATAGCAGTTTCTATGGAGTTTCTAGTGCACAAAAGAATGAGGTAGATACCTTGTGTTGTTAGGGTTTGGTGTTTGTTATTTTAAACAAATGACAGGTATTTTTCTAAGATAAGAATGACGATTCCACCGGGAAGGTGGATTCCACCCCACCATGCACCTGAAATATTTAATGGTTCCATAAATGGATTGTAGAGGGTCCTGCTTTCCTCCTCCTTTTTACGAAGACTGAAGCCTCATCCAAAACATGGAATAGACCGTGTGTAAAGATGAAAGAGAGCATTTCTATATAGAATGTGAATTGTCATATCCTGGTCATTTCTGATGGAGCCAATGGAATTACATTTCTCTCCAGAGCTAAAATATTTGCTTTCTAAATGAAAATTTGCTAGTAGAATCTGTCTCTGGAAGAGTCAAGCCTGGTCTGACTCTCGAATGAATTTGATAGCAGATTTATTTTGTTGTCGGGCTTAGGGTTCACATTAGAAACATTTGGGCAAAGGGAGATGAAAGGTTTTCCTGTTTTGTCTTATTAAAGACAATGTACTCTGAATACTAATCACGAGTACTCTAAAATTCAGACTTGAAAATGCAGTAAGTCCAGTGATTATAGTAACTTATTACTGAGAGAGCTGGCATTCGATGTGGATTCATCAGTGGGTATGGTTTTATTTATAAAAGCGTGTGCTGGTTCTCTGGTGGTATGGGGGTAGGTGAGCACAGCCAAGCTGTGATTCCACCCTGTCATTCAGGATTGGCATTTTTTCACTCAGAACACAGGAACAAGCTTTGGTGGTGTTGGAATAGAAAACGAATTTTAATAGCCAAAACCTGTCACGAAGAGGTCTGTATTCCTTTCAGTTGTTGTGGTTGCTATTGTTGTTGTTTACAGCAAGATGAAATCTTTTTCAAAGTGATCAATTGCAGATATTTTAGCTGACCGTTTTTGGCAAGATGCAAAATCCCTTTTGAAATATGGCCATGGTCTTATCAGAACATCTGTTTGCATAACATATATTTCATAAGTAAGATGCATGTTGTTTTAAAAAGCAGCCTGAATCATCTTCTCTGCATTTATTTTTCAGCTAAACACTTTCCAACATAAATATAAAACCGCTTCTGCAAGTGCAAGCTAAGCCTGTTGCTCTGCAGCCTTTGCAGCCCTCTCCCTTCACTTGCTTTCCCTCTTCCACTCACTACCTTCCTCCTACTCCAACTTCCCCAGGTGCTGGGATACTACAGAAAGCTCAATGGGTTACAGATATTCAGCCTTCTTCAAACTTTCAAAAGACAAATTGGAAAAATCTGAAAAAGACTAACAGTAAAGGGTGTTACTAAAGGCCATTTTCAAGTCCCAAAGTGCTGAGCAGTCTATAGAGTTTACATTTCTATTAGGGGCTAATATTTTTTTAAAGAAAATAATTTGTAAAAAGTAACATAGAAGTACCCTGTTAACCAACCCATGCTTCAGATGGCCTGAACATGCAAATTTTACACTCATGAAATGTACTAATAAAGTACTTATTCTCTTTAGTGTCTTAATATTCACTGAAAATGTTACTTCAATTAACTTTTGTTTAACTATTGCAATATAGCTATTGATTTATAGATGACTCCTACCTTCCCCCTACCCTGTTTTTCTATGGTGTGTAACTGTTCAGCAAGATTGCCACTTCCTTCATTGAACTCAGAAGCGTTTACTCTTTTGTTTCTTTATCACAAGGTGACAGACCTTTTTACAGCGTATACCTGCGATTTCTTGCAGCTTGGGGAAAGAACCAGTCAGTAACACTGTGAACTTACTCTGACTGCTAGATTTGCTGGGATTTTCCTGGTTAGGGTAGTTTTTCCCCTTGGTGCTGCTTTCCTTCACTTTTTGAAGGGTAGTGGAATTTTTTATTTACATGAAGTATTTTAGATATAAAACCTAGCTGAGTAAGCCCATCTTATTTTTACTTTCTCTTGTTCTGTCTTTTAAATAAGATTAGGGAAAACCTCCAGAATAAAAGGAAAGTCATATCAGTATTGTTTCTTGTTCTCTGTCTCGTGGGACTCCTGGTGACAGGAATATAGGGAAGATTTTAAGTATTAGTTGCTTCAGAGCTAGCTACAGACACCTGAATCACAGCCATTTGTGTCTCGTTGGTGCAAGGACCATTTTAACACATTTAAACAAATTATCCTAACCTGAAACCTCATGGCGACAATGCCTACTCTTCCGCTGCTCTCCAGGGTGAACTGGGTTATTTGTTTCTAATGGAGGATGGATAAATTAATCCTGTACTGATATATGGGTGGAAAACTGTCTCATTTCTTAAGGAGAGTGAGAAGACTAAACAGAAAAAGTATTTGTAATATTTCTTATCTATTAGTGTAGAGATGTGTACAGCAGCTCTTCCTAATCAGTGAGTTTTGAACCCAAGGTAGCTCATTGCTTTTAATTCAAACAAGTAGTCCTTGAGTTCTAACATTCACCTTCAAAGTGTTTTTTTCTTCCATAAAAATTAAAATTCTATCCTTACAGGCTAATGAAAATTTAAGAAAAAAAAACCAACCCAAAAGTTGTGTTTCTGTAGAAATCTGCTAGGACAATGTGGTTATTTCTACAAATACTGACTGCAATTCTGTAAGTAGTTCATCCAGTCTTTAGTCAGTGCCAGTTTTCTTTATATTTTAAAGCAAAAGAAGGCAGAAGGTCTCTACCTTGTCTTACATGTCAGTGTTCTGGGGATAACATAACTCCCTGGTGTCACACTGCTGTGAAAATGCCTTTGGATGGGATTTGAATGGGAAAATTGATCTACTTCCAAATGTAATTTCTCTGAACAATAAAGGTCTGTAGGTCACTCCCACTTTGAAAACTGATCATTGACAGAGCTGGGTTTATTTTAGTAGCAAAAAAAAAGGAATGATCTGTGACATACATAAGAAAAATATTTATTTTTAACAGTACTATATCTGTGTTTTACAAAAGGAGAAATAAATTACCCTGGTTAAGGAAGCGTGGAAGTCAAAGTGGCGTAATATCCCACTGCTCCATTCACTGAAAGGCCTGATTTTATCCCCAAGCTGCAAGAAAAAGTGAACAATTCTTTGTAATCAAGCTGTGGAGCTCGTGAAAGAGAGGGATATTTTTGTTAAAGGACTGGTGCGTTATCCTGTTTTCTAATAACATTGCTTTATGAGAGTGCTTCACTTTAAAATGCAGCGTTTTGAGAATAGGCATTATAAGCCAGAGCATACAAAAACTGTACTATTTTTCCTTCCTTGCTTTTGAAAGAAGAAACTTGGATGCTAGCAGAATGGCAGTGCAGTGTAATTGTATATTTTTAAAAACCACATCAGAGCGGAGTTACACATAGACAGGCTGGCTATAGTGTTTTTCAGTACAATTGAGTAATTCTGCCATTTGCACTGCAGCTACATTTTGACTTTGTGCATTTTGCTTTTCTGTTTCTTAGATGCACAGCCCACAGACGGAGAAAGGGAGGTATGGAATCAGATCAGTGCCGTTTTGCAGGACTCGGAAAGTATGCTTGCAGACCTTCAGGCCTACAAAGGAGCTGGACAGGAAATTAGAGATGTATGTTTGTTAAAGTTAATGACAGTTCTCTGGAAGCAAAATCCAAGCAAAAGTCAACGTGTTCCTTCCTTCTGTTCTGTATCCAAGCACATTCTATAAAATGATATGAAAATCTTCATTAAAATTGTATTTAGAAAATGTTACAGATTATGTGTAACGTTGAATATAAAGCCCTAATGTGAAATCATTAAATGATGGCTGTTGGAACTTCTTTTAGGTTTACTATTAGTAATTATTTTTTGCTTTAAGAAACACCATTTCTATACCTTGTTCCATATATCTCATGCTGGGATTCACAGTTGAGGACACGGAAGAAATAATACTCAGATGTCACAAAATACACTATGAAAAAAGGTTTAAAATAGTTGTTCTTCTATGTAAGTGAAATAACAAACCACAGTAAATGATAACCTTACACCCACTTTTACAGGCATCTTATTCTATCAAACTGGTCCCAAAGTACCATTCTGAACTGTAACTTAAATTTCTCAAGTAACCAAACCTTTTCCTGCATCAGCTTTGCAGTTACTGTGAGCATGAGCTGTTGGTGAGTTAAGAACCTGTATAAGTTGAAGATTTCAAAAACACCAAAACCTTAAAAAAGGCTATTTCTGCAAATTGGGTCTTACCTGATGCTTCTACAATGGCTTTGCTCCCCAAAGATTATGTTAAAACATATTTTTGTATGTCAGCAGTGCATTGGAATGAATAATTTAAAACCACTATGTTACAGGGGGAGAGGAAAGGTGGAAAACATGGTATTTTTTGGACATACTAGTTTCCTATTCCTGTGCAATGTAATTTCTAGTAATTTTTCTATGTTTCACAATGCTTACTTTCTAAAATAATGTGGCAGAAAAATTCCAAACTACCTTTTGCTTGTTATTCATATATCATAGTTCTTTACAGTAGTGTTTTCATTTCAGGCGATACAGAATCCCAATGATATCCAGTTGCAAGAAAAAGCATGGAATTCAGTATGTCCTCTGGTTGTAAGACTGAAGCGCTTTTATGAGTTTTCACTCAGATTAGGTGAGCCCTGTTTTAGTATGTCTGTTTATTGGGCTACTTCCTAAAGAGAGAAATAGGAAGTTTATTTTTCACAGGCTTCTTCCTGTTTCATATCAAGAGATGTTTAACTGCAATTACATTTATTAAGGTATATTTGTAATCTTCGTTTAATTTTAAAGTTATCAGTTTTAGTTTGTCACTTAAATCTGTGTTATCTAAATAGAGTACAAGAAAAGAATGTGATAAAACTGCATAAAGTTTTTCTCTGCTGACTGCCATCTTCTGCACTTCACTGGTCCATCTTGTACTAATGTAATTTAACTGTTGTAATCTGGATCCTTCAGAGTTTTGAAAGGCATGTAAATGAAAAATTTTTTGAAACGTTAAAAACGGATATAACAGGTGGAGAAGGATATCAGTAAACTCTCTCACAGGATAAAAATCCAAAGTTGGGCATGTTTTATGTTGACTTTTTTCATCCCTACAAACCCAAAAAATGATGTAATTACGCCTTGTATTAGAACTCTGCAAGAGAACCAGTGTGCAAAGATGTATGGATGATTAGGGAGAGCTCCTAATGCAAGGGAATTCTTCTACAGTATCCTGCTTACTAAGTCTCACTTTTTCAGTAATGCTAGTAATTATAGCTGCAGGAGCTGAATTACATTTTGTTAGTGCCTAAAAGTACACTTTTAGTAGCAGGGATGCCAGAATAATCTCTATACTGAGCTGATGGCTAATTGGAGAAGTTGAAAGAGAAGGAGTTGAATATTTAAATGCAAGAAAAATGCTTTCTCTGGAATTTTCGACAGGGAACGCAGATAAAGGGCCATTAAAATAGAAAAGAGCTTAGTGATAGATAGTGGAGAGAAAATGGCAGAGAGCATGAAGAGGCCGCTGTCTTTGGCTGACGTTTCTCACGTTACAGTACTAAGGAAAAGCATTTCTATTAGGGCTCTGCATGTTCAGAGGCTTTCTTCTCCTCAAACAAGATATATTTAGATACTTACTTAATACTCTGTCATAATGTGGACTGAACAGAATTTTACTTCTGATTTTTATTCAGAGAAAGCCCTGCAGAGCTTATTGGAGTCCTTGACGTGCCCACCATATACTCCAACCCAGCATCTGGAACGGGAACAGGCTCTAGCGAAAGAATTTGCAGAAATCTTACATTTTACTCTTCGTTTTGATGAGCTTAAGGTTAATAAAGTCTTTTAGTAGATGCTGATTTTTTCCATGTGTTTTGAACCCAAACTGATTATTTCCTATTTGTCTTCCTCAAAGATGAGAAACCCAGCCATTCAGAATGACTTCAGTTATTATAGGCGAACAATAAGTCGCAACAGAATAAACAACATGCATGTAAGTAAATCAGGTCTGATCTGCTCTTCACACTGAGGTGTTTATCAGTATGCATTTGTAGCATTTGTGGTAAAGTTTTTTCGTTTGATTCACTAGCTGTCTTGTTCTCTCCACACCAAGAGTTAATCAGCAGTCTGGATGAAGTGATTAGAGTGGAACTATTCATGCAATGATCTGTTTGCTGACATGAGCATGTACTGTATCTTTTTCTTGCTGCCAGCAAGATTTTAAAGAGTTTTACTGACTATTTTTTCTCCTGTTTTCATCAGCTAGACATTGAGAATGAAGTAAACAATGAAATGGCCAATAGGATGTCCCTGTTTTATGCAGAAGCCACACCAATGCTGAAAACACTCAGCAATGCAACTACACATTTTGTATCAGAAGTAAGTAATGGAGGAGAAAAGGTCTAACACAGACATTCTTGATTTTAATTTTACAACATAGTTTACTGAACACTGACTCTTTTTAACCCTTCTAGAACAAAACGTTACCAATTGAAAATACAACGGACTGTCTAAGTACTATGGCTAGCGTATGTAAAGTCATGTTGGAAACACCGTAAGTTTTTCCCTTATGTCTTGTTTTTCTTGTGTGAGGGAGTTTGTATTGTATTTTAAGTAATCATCTGGGATACACACAGTTTTTTCCAAATGAATTCGTGTATGTTTGCCTTAAGTTGTTAACACATTTATATACAAAGCATGACCTGGTATTAGAAAGTCTTGCCTTCTGTGTTTACCACCTTATGATATTCTTCATGAATCACCATTGAGTTTTGTTAGGGAGAGCTTACGCGTTCAGCCTGTATTTTAAGAAAAGTTTAAAATACAAGTGTAATAGTATGCACTTAGAGACTTTAGTGACTGTGTCTTGTCTAACCAGGGCCATAGGCCAACTACTGTCTCTATATTGCCCATGGTGTTCAATTATTAGCAGACTTAAGGGCAAAATTTTGTCTTTTCCAAGCAGCATTTTCACAAGTGATACACGGACTATTTTGAGAATTGTTTGAGTAGATCTTTTTGGATGTACCCTTCTTACTCTGGATATGAGAAACTGCAGCTTTACAGAAAATGTACAGTTGTTTTCTTAGCAACTAGCATAGGTATAGCCAGTAGGGTTACTGTTGTTTAGCTGTGCGTTTAATCAAGTATTTTTTAGGTTAGATGTCCCTTTGAGTGGCAAACACATACAAGATAGAGTCAAAGTAGTCTTCCTGTCTTTGAATTGTTTGTTCATGGTGCCATGGAAAGGGTAGAATTCCTGAAAGTACTCTGTTTATGAAAATTCTGGAGAAGGTGGTGGGACTCTTCTTGCAATCTGGGCCACCTTAGAAGTAGTTAGAGAAAACTAACCCTATGTGTAAGCTCATTTTTTGGCAAAAGTAGAGAATCAGAAAGTTGTGAGTCATCTACCAGAAGATTTTCAGATATTTACTTCTAATTGTGAGATAATCAAGCATTTTCACATAAAAATGTCTGTAGCCTTTAAATCTGTTCGTGTTACGATGCTGTGTTATTTAAACAGGAGAATAATAGTTGAAGTTATTGTCAACTAAGAGGTAGTATAATAGAGGTTTTAGTATTCTTAATGATATGTTTAAGTTAAAAAAAAAAAGTTTTCTTTTCAAAAACCAGTGAATGACAGTAGACTAATGTATTATCTACTCAGGATAGTATTGTTAGAAAACTAGTGATAATTTCTGTTTTCCAGTGTTTCTTTTTTTTCTTTTTCTACTATAGTTCATTTTTCATTTCCTGATGATGGTTTTTAAGATGGTTTCAGGTATGACATCTGATAAGGACTGGTCTAACTCTGCCATCTGTATTCTTATGTTGCAAAGAAAAACTCTTTCAAATTAGTTCAGTCCAGTCCTATCTAGTGTGCCTCCACATATTAGACTATGTGCTGAAATAATTTCCTACTTCAATGTTAACTGCTTCAGAGTAGGAATTTAAGCAAAAAAAGTAACTTTTCCTTTGAGATCCCAATATCATGAGGTTCCAGTTTGAACAGGAATACAATCAGTCTCCTTGTATTTCCTGAACTTTGGAGCCATTCTCTGAAGCTGTCATCTTAGACATGCAGAAGTGAGGACCTTAACTGTGAAGGGGTGTTAGAAGGGGTTTACGTAGCTTTATTTGCTTTCTGACCTTCCTTCTACATTGACAAGGACTTATGCATGTCAAAGATATTTAAAATCTTACTAAGGTTCATCTTCAGCCTTAAAATACAATGTTCAGATTTCATGCACTCATGGTCTAGATTGCAAAATTTTCCAGTAAAAAGTCAAGACTCTCTGTTTTTTTTTGTTCTGTTTTGCAGAGAGTACAGGAGTAGATTCACCAGTGAAGAGACCCTTATGTTCTGCATGCGAGTAATGGTGGGAGTTATTATTCTGTATGATCATGTCCATCCTGTGGGAGCTTTCTCAAAGACATCAAAGATTGATGTAAGAGTGACTTTTCTTTAATACTCTGTAGCTCTGAGAATACTAACCTGCAGATTTTTTTCAGCCCAAGCTTATGACTTTATATAAATCATTTTAATTATTTTTGAATGGCAAAATTTAGAATTTATCTTCACCTGCATACTTTAATATATCAGCTTGTTTGAAATTAAAAAAGGAACAGTCTTTTTTCCTTTGTATTTTCTTTCAGACACAGATACTCATTTGTCTTTGCTAGCTGTTTTCCTGGCAACTTTATGGTTACACTAAAATAATTTTGTATTACACCTACCCAGGAATAAGTTCTGTGGTCATAATTTTTTATTAATAATGTTATTTATTTATGCTGAAGTGCTCATCTTTGGCAGCAGCTCTGTTGTAAATAAGCAGATATTCAACATTGTCTCTGCTGTGTCTGAGATCTAAAGTAACAGAACTGAAATGTTCCTGTTGTAATGTTGATAATAAGCCTTCAGTTTTAGCTTTGGCACGACCAGTCACAGGGAAGTCAACATTACTCTTTCATCTGAGAGACTGCAAACACACAAAAAAGTACTTTTATTTGAGATACATGTTTTTACAAACCTAAATCTCACGCATGACATCTTTCAGCAGAAATTAACTAATTCATGGGAAGAAAAGATACTAAGTCGTTCCCTTTACAAGATAGCCTACTTCAAAAAAGAAGAGATATATATATATATATGTATTATTGTGCTACTTAATGCTAAGTCTTCATTAGCATTTTTCATGTGCAGATATCAGGAGTTTATACACACACACACACACGTATATGTGTGTGTGTATATATATACACACACATGTATGTGTGTTTTTATATATATATATGTATTATTGTACTACTTAATGCTAAGTCTTCGTTAGCTTTTTTCATGTGCAGATATCAGGAGTTTATCACAGCTCCTCTTTGGCTTTGTTTTACAGAGGGAAAGATATGTCACAAAGACGTGAATTGATTTGCTCAAGGTCATGCAGCAGATAGAGCCTGGGAATTGAATGCAGACTTCCTGACTGCTAATTCAGTCTCTTGCCCACAGAGACTACAGAAGTAAAATTTTGATAGGACTGACTATACAGTGCTTGTACTTTTTGTCTCACATTTATTGTAAAGCCCTGTAATCTTACTGGATAGTCAGACAGATGTAAAAGGGAGACAGGAGGTGTATGACTCCATTTTTAAAAATGACTACATGGTCCCAAATTTTAATTCGTGTAATTAGTTTAGTGATTCTTCTCTAATTAAAAAAAAATACTATGGTATATCAGATGATAAGTTTCTTTTACAGTGAAAAACAATTATTTATTGCAAGCTGTTTTCTGGGAGCTCTTTCAAGTCTGGAGACTTTATTTCAAGCTGTTAATTGTAGGCTTCTAGCTTAGACATCCTAACAGCTTTTCTTCTTTGACTGTTTCTCATTCTAACAAATGGAAAAAAATGCTTTGAATTTTTATCCCCTCTGAGTTTGTCTGATCTGATGAGGTGTGTAAACCTGTACTGAGTGATGGGAATATAGTCTTGAGTTTCTCTAGTTCAGGAAAAGTACCTGTGCCGCTCAAAAATATTTTCTGCTACCCTGAGAATTTCATCAACTCTGATCAACTCTTTGCATAGCTAGTTTTATCTTCCAGGTAGAACTGAGCCAACTGAGCAGTAATCAGGGATTATTAGGGTGGTCATTGCACAGGAGGCAGAGTTATATTTTCCAAATAATTTTTAGTGGCAAATGCATGGACTCTTCAATTGAGTATTTCATCTTCCATTTCAGAATATGGTAGAGTTGCTCCTTAGCTACAAAGAAAATACTGGCATGTAGATTTCATACTGCAATGTGACTTGAGAAGATTCAAATCTTGACTCTGCCATGTCTTTATCTGTTATTTTAAATAAAATGGAATTAATCTAGACTAATTTTTGGATAGCTATTAGATGTCTTCACAGAAATGGGAAGAAATGGGTATTTCCGGAGCTTGATTCACTGCATCTGAAAGTACATTCAGAATAGGTTAGAGGAATTTCTTATTTCTCTCTGTTTACTAGGAAGGTAGTCTGTATGGTGGGTCACATGAGTTCTACCTCTGCTTTCTCTCCTTCATTTCCTCTTTTGTAAATTTGGACAGAGTTTCTGCCTGTTTTTACAGTCTCTGCCAAGATGTAGGAAAAAACCTACCTGTCTGGTGAAATTTTTCCTTGTTTTCAGCTAGTGCAATTCATATGTTATTGTTCAATAGTGGCATGCTTCTGTTCCCAGATGAAGGGATGCATCAAAGTTTTAAAGGAACAACCACCTGACACTGTGGAAGGGCTTCTGAATGCTCTCAGGTATGTGCAGAATAATTGATTCAGCCTTAACAAATTCCTCCTTTCGTTTCCTCCCACTTTTTTTTTTATATTTAAGACTTTTCACCTTATAAGCTTGATTTATTAAGAAAATTATCCTTTGGAATTTGCCTTCATCACCTGGAGTTTTCTTAAGTAATATTAATTTCTTTCAACCCCATTTCACTTTGACAAGCTGCAGCTGTTAATATTGGAAGTCATAATGTCCTTCTTCAAAGGTATTTAAGGTTCATTTTGCCACCTTAAACTTAGCCATCCAAAAGGTAGACAGTTCATCAAAAAACAGTGTATCTAAGCTAAGATTTGCTAAATAAAATACCCCAGGAACTAGAACATTTTAGAAGCGCAGAGCAGAATTTCTCTTTCTCAGACCCTTGATACTTCCCTTCTTTCTTTCCCTGTGATTTAAGAAGAGTTTTGATTTCTTTTTAATTTTGCTAAATGAAACATCTTAAAGAAAACACCAACCTGAATCCCAATCCTGTAGCTAAGTGTTTAAGTTGCTGGCTTGGGAAGCAAGATACAGTGACCTGACACTTCTCTGAAGTGGAGAAGGAAGTCTTAGTACCAAGTTTTTCAGAGCTGCATTGAATGCTTGGAGAACTGTAGCCATAAACACCTCCATATTTGCTTATCATGTCTTTTGAATTAAAATTGATGTGGAGTTAAATTCTACAGGTATTAGGTGTGTTTTGAGCTTATGTGGTGATTGATCCCCCTATGAACATAAGCGTGTTGGTCTTAAATTGAAAAAAACCACCACATTAAATCTCTTCAGTCCTCCCAGGACATTTCAGAAAGCTGCTTAAAATTAGGTTTACAGATTATGCCGAAATTCCATCTAGATCCGAAGTCCTTTTAGTATTTATGCTATTTCTTATGTCTTTCAATCTTTTTTACTTCTTTTGAGGCTTTTAATTGGAAAAAAAAGATAATTTAAACCCAAAATTATGATACTGTCTTAGACAGATGTCAAACAGTATTTAGCCACAACTCTCTACCTATTAGCAGGGAATAATTTATTGCAAAAGGTATTCAGCAGAGATAAAGACCATCAGACTATTAGCAGTTAAATTCAAGTAATCAGTAATTAGAGGAACATGTAAGTTCCTCCTTTGTGTAATTCAACCGCGCTGATTTCAACAACAGGCACTGAAGTTGTCAGGCTTTTCTAATCCTTGTTCATTTTTTAAAATGCTGTTTTAACTTGTATTTTCTAGGTTCACTACAAAACACCTGAATGATGAATCTACTTCAAAACAAATTCGAGCTATGCTGCAGTAGTATCCCAAGACAAGTAGATGTTTGTATTGATCACAGAAGATGTGTATGTTTACATAATTTAATACAGTTTGATGTTAATACTTGTGTGTATTTACATAACCATTTTCTTCATACTGCTAAAATATATGAATCTGTTCATAACCTGACTGACTTTATATAGTTCAGCCTAAGTTTTTATGCTAGCCTTTATCTTTTGACTTCAAAGAATACTTTTTTACTTAGATACTTCAGCTACAACAGTTTATCTGTGCATTTTAATCCATAAACACCTTCTCTATCAGAGAAGTAGTAGTGAAGACAAAATGGAAATAAAATAAACTGAAGTGTCAAAAATACCACAGAAATGGAACTTTAAAGAAGAAGAAAGTTAATATAAGAGAAAGTAAAATTCATTGGATATGTTCTGAGAACACATACACAGTTTTTTAGTCAGTTTTAGAATCTTATCAAACTCATATGAATAGGAGAATACCTGAATGTTCATCACTCCCATAAAATATGTTGTCTTTCTTGTAACAAGTAGAGATCCACCTCATTTTAAGGATTATGTGCTGCCTGACATTCAAAAACATATTACAAAGAGGTAATTTTACCTCTTTTATAAAGTATAACCTGTACCTTTCAGCCATTGAGGAAATTAATATCCTCTTTCCGATTCAATATAAATAAACAGAAAACATGTTTTAAGACCATTGCTGAATTCTGAAAATTCTGTATAATTTTATTAGAAAGTATTAGAGAAAATACTAATGCCTTGACTTAACTAGAAAGAATTTGTCAATGTAAATGTATCACAATGAACGTTATCTCTCAGACAGCTCTCCTCAGTAAGTAATTTTTTTGCTGATTTAAACTGGTATAAAGCAGAACACTCTTCTGTAGCAGCAAACTTCCCTAGTGTCAAACTGACCTCATCAAACTAGGCATGATAAAAATAAATTTTAAGAGCTGAGATGTTTTTAGGCGCTCCATCAAGTTCCTTGATAGTACTATTCATTAGATGATTCAGAGTCAGCACAGAAATATTTATCAGCTGACTCCTCTTCGCTGGTTTTTGAGACGTGATTGATACTTCAAGGAGTTGAGTTCCTTGCTGAGTTGTTTGTTCTTATTTCTAGTGATTCTTCCAGTAAATGGAATAGAAATACTTTGCCAAAAGCAGCAAAGTGCTCATGCTCTGTTAAGTGTGTCTGCTGGGTGGTCTGCAGTTGCTGTACATATTCTTGCAGAGGTCATGTACTGAAAATGTATTTTATTTTGTGTACTCTGCTTGCATGTATGCGTGAAAACTCCAGTGCTTGTGCACAGATTCAGATTTGTATTTGCTTATCCTGTGTACATGAATCGGGTTTGTGTGCTCTCACTGGAATTTTCATGCATTCACTTCTAAAAACATTACCTTAAGACTTTGAAGATGCATTTGGTCTGCCAAAACTCAGCTGCACTGTGACAAACTGTCATTCAACTCAGTCCTTAAACAGTATTAGTATCATAAGGTGTTTGGAGTAGGAATTGTCTCAGAGTTTATTTCTGAGCAGAACTACCACTATGAGGTTTCTCAAGCCTGATCAGAACCCATGGGTGCCAACATTACACGTCGCGATACTGGACAGCACCGCACCGCCAGCATTCATGTCACACATCTGCAGTTGTCGCAGCAGATCCCTGTGTTGTTGTCAGGAACAGAATTAGAAATCACAGTAGTTGTTTTTTTTCTTTTTCTGGAAGCAGTGATCACACTGCATTTTCACAGTAGTAAATCCACTGTTTACAAACTCCATTTTTAATGGGGGGACATTTAAAAACGTATATTAGGGGAAATCCTGGTTTGCTCATAGTCACTTCCAGTTAGGTAAGTCTGGGTGGAACTTCTGGGTGGTCATTCTGTTGAGCTTGGTAACTGAAGTTAATACATGCTTTAGCTGCAATTATTTGTCAGACAGTGAAGTCTTATCTTTAAGTAGCCCAGAGGAAAGCTATTTGTCACTTTGAAATAAATGTGTAAACCTTAAAGCATTCTGCAAATTGTCACGTGCTGTTCACTGAAGTCACTGATTTTCTTTGCCTGCTATGATGTTTTTGTACAGAAGTTTGTCTGAAATAATAAAAAGTTTGGTAAAGTAAGCATTGAGACTGGCTGTGTTTAGAGACAACATAAAAAGGTTGAGAAGTATCTTATTTAAAGTTTTGGATCTGTGATATAATAGGCTCACCTTTACGTATCCAATTTATAGCTTCCTTAAAAAGCATTTAAAATGTTTCACTTGTATGCCACAACAATATATCCTATGTTGGCTTTCACATCCTGCACCAGTTTTAACTTCAGAAGGGTTTTGGCTTTCCTAACCCTAACCATGCATGCTCAGACAGTGTCTTTGCATTTTTCCTCGGTCTCTTGTCCCTGCTCCCACTTCCTGCATGCTGCCTTTTCATGTTTGAGTTTAGTCAGGAGCTCCGTGGTCATCCATGCAGGCCTGCTGCCATCTCTGTGTGGTTTGGTGCTTATCAGGAAGGGCTGTTTTTGAGCTTGGAGGAGGTGATCCTTGAAAATAAACCATCTCTCCTGGGATCCTCTTCTCTCCAAGGCTGTCTCCCACGTAGTTCTTCCAACCAGATCCCTGAACAAGCCAAATTAAAATTCTCAAGTTAAATCTTTACTGAAAATCATCTTGTGGCTATATAGCCAGGAATATGCTTTTAAAATTGCATGTGTTCTAGCACTATTGGAAATGCATGATACTTTGAACATCAGAAGTCAAGAAACACAAAATCTTGCATATCCAAACATTTGTTAATAGTTGCAAATAGTTGGAAGAGGTGTTTTTTGTTTTGTTTTTTTTTCTTTTTCCTTTAAAAAGTAGCACACATTACTATTCTTTTACATTGGATGAATCGCTAGTACAAAATTACAGAATCTATGAATTCATACCGTGAAGCAGGTTAGATAATGCCGTGGGAGCCAGTGAGCTGAGACAGTGACATGAATTTGATTTGTCAATAAGAGAATAAAACCCCTTTTTGATTTAAAAGCCAATATAGCAGATCTAGTATTTTAACTTAGTAGTCTGTAATGCTTCCTACTGCAGAGTTACAAAGGTGAATTCCTGACTGCCACATAATCCAAATTCTGCAACCACAGAATTCTCCTTCATGCTGATTTGAGACAAATGTAACTCAATTGATTTCGATAGAGCTGTTTCTGATTGACATGGGTGTAAATGATACCCTTTGTCTTTTCTCAGCTGTGGCCTTTGACCTAAGTTGCTTATTACTGAGCAAATTGAGTCTTCTGCTAGTGCAGATCAATGACGTAACATGATAATCTTGCAGAGATCTCTTGCGCTTGACTGCTTTGAAATTAAAACTAAAATGAACAGTGCGGTAGGTGTTCTAGAAAATCAGTAGGTATATAGTTAAAAAGTAGACCAACCAAGCACTAATCTTTAGATTAAGAGGAAAATATATCATGATTTTTCGACAGATCTTAATTTGGGGTCCAGATGGAAATAATGTACCTCTCATGTTGTGGATGTTTGGGCTGTTGACAATTAAATATGTAGACTCAGGTGTTAATAAGTCGACATACCTCCTGACATTTTAAAATTGCTCACAGAACTTAAAGTTTAGAATGTATGTATGTGGCTTGGATCAAAATTGCTATTATAGCTCATGATTGTTCTCATTCTGATTCTGCATCCACTTCAGTGAAGTTCTAGGATTTAAGGAGATTTTCTATGTATTTTAGTGATGTGTCAAACAGCTACTCTCTTACTGCCTTGAAAATTGTGGAAGAGTGTGTCTAGCTTCTCTAGACACACAAAAGAAGTTGGAAGAGGACAGTGGAAGATGATCAATCTCAACTGATTTAGATCTTCCATATTGAAAAGAGGACAAATCATGAGAGCTGGCACAGATGCAGAAACCATGCAGTTCAGAAACTACCCTGTCCTGTGAGTTCTTTGACGTGGCAATGTCTGAAGGTCAGATCATGTCAGGAGGACTTCTGAAGGGCTTTGATCAGGAAAGGATTCTACCCAAAATGAAGAAACTTGTCATGATTTTAGGATGCCATGGTAGGAGGAAGCTTAAGGGCTCCTTCTAACCTTACCTCCCATTCTGTGGCAGCAGCACTGTGCAAAGCCTCAGTTTCCCCTCCAGTTGCTGCCTGAGGCCCAGCTCAGACTGTAACCTCTGCTCTTTGATGCTTGGCCTTATCCTGTAATGTAAAGCAGCGTGTGCGGGACTGTGAGGTGGCTTACCTTGCCTCACCTGTATGCAGGCACCGTCTGCCTCCTGCTCTTGTGAATGGAATCTCCTCAGTGAATTCAGACAGATGGCCAATAAACCTCACTTCAGTAACATTTCTGAGAAGGTTATTGAAAAAGTGATCTTATAGTGGTTTTTCAACTGTGTTAATATTTGACAATATCAGATATATTTCTAAATTAAATTCTATAATTTTATATGGTTTTAACTTTTTTTCTGGTATAATTTTCTATGCATTTCCTATCTGTGTCTTTATAAAGTCATAATAAAGACATGTCTGACAGTGAAATACAGCAATTCCATAATCTTTTGTGTTTGCTGTAGTTTGAGGTGGCTGGGAAAAAAATGTTAAAATCCATTTAATGACTTTTTTTTTTCTATTGCACACAAGGCTGTGATTAATTATGGGCACTTTAACTATTAAGCTCAAACTTAAATAACATGCAGCATCAGAGCTCAAAAGCTCTTTAACAGAAACCTTCCCAAAGAAGATTCCTTACTGTGGTCTAGAATTAGGTTCCCTCAATGAACTTCCCTGAAGAGGTATACATGCCCCTAGTTACTGAAATACTGAATATATCAATATAAGACCGAAACAGGTATTACATCTCTATGAAAATGTTTAATTTGGAGAATGAAAAAATACATTATCTAGCCAAACTAATTAAAGAATTTTGTGGAGATTTTTGTAATGTATATCAGATGAAATGTACATATTTGTTCTTATGATTAGTTTTGGATTGTGCATACTCAGATATACACATTCATAGTAATATCAGTGATATTTATACAATGAAAGAATATTTGTAACCACTGACTTAGCCAATTCTTTGCAGCTGTGTTTTAAAAATACAGTGTGAATGCAACATTTGTTTTACCCAGCCTGTCAAAATTATATTTCCTTTTATTAAATTAGAAGCTTAAAAAGCTAATGAAGATTCCTTTTGTTCAGTGGTTTCACATTCACACTGAAACCCACTATTCTGATTATATGTTTTACAACTGTAATTACTTTAATCGAAATATGAAAATAAGATCCTTTTTTCTTTATTTTTGTAATTCATTATATAACTGGCCAGATTTTTAAATAATGCAATTTATTGTAGGTTAAATAAAATCAGAAAAAGTACTCAAATGCATGCTATCTGAAAATTAGTTTAAATTATTTTGTTGAAAAATATTACTTCTGAGACAATATTATTTTTCAGATAAGTATCAGCAGTCCTTATTATTATGTGTATTTTCCAGATAGACACTGGGTTTTTACTATTACAGATGTTACCTGAGTATGCAAGTAGTTTGAATTCAGAGGCACAGTGAAAAGACAGAACAATTTTGGTAGAGTTTGACACAAGTGCCCAAGCCGCTGATCACTGTTCTTGTTGGAAAGTTTGAGATTCCTCAGTTCTTTCATACTTCTGAAATGTAAAAAAAAAAAAATAAATCTTTCCTCTTTG